ACATGACTTCACGTCACCACCGCTAAGCTAAAGGAGGCTAATGTTGGGCTATAAAGGAACTACAGCAAAGGCTAATGTTGGGCTATAAAGGAACTACAGCACGGTCACATGACTTCACGTCACCACCGCTAAGCTAAAGGACGGTCACATGACTTCACGTCACCACCGCTAAGCTAAAGGTGGCTAATGTTGGGCTATAAAGGAACTACAGCACGGTCACATGACTTCACGTCACCATCGCTAAGCTAAAGGTGGCTAATGTTGGGCTATAAAGGAACTACAGCACTGTCACATGACTTCATGTCACCACCGCTAAGCTAAAGGCTAATGTTGGGCTATAAAGGAACTACAGCACGGTCACATGACTTCACGTCTCCACCGCTAAGCTAAAGGAGGCTAATGTTGGGCTATAAAGGACCAAACACACATTCAGAAACCATTGCCCTCCAGACCAGGGGACAGGAAGTCATTGATGCTGACTCATGCCAGGGTTTAGGACTCATTCCTGCACCTCTCTATGACCTTTATAACTTCTCTGATATCCTGCAGACAGATGTTTGACGCTCTCTTCTGGTTTCAGTCTAGTTTGGACCGCACAGACATCGGCACTCTGCTGATCCCCAACATCCAGAGGTCAGACTCAGGGACCTACATGTGTGTGGGCAGCAACAGCGTGGGCTCCAACAGCTCACCCCTCAAGGTGTCCGTGCTCAAAGGTCAGAGGTCAAAGCAGTTACAATAATACAGTATTTATAACAATGTGTTTTATACAAAGATGACCAAGAATGTTGTTAATCAAAAAGTCATAGCTCAAAGTATTTACATTTTTTTTATGTTGTAACAGTTTCTCCATTTAAGAATAAAAAGAATACAACATTTTATACAATTTAAATAAAATACATGTAATTAATTTGAATTAATTTAAAGGTCCCATGTCATGCTTTTCCGGTTATTACCCGTCCCCTTGTCTTAAATTAATTTGAATTAATTTAAGACAATAAATAGAGTACTTAATAAATATATGAAAAAAATACAAATTCTGAACACAATATTAAATGGAGTGTAATTTAGTTAAAATCACGGACGACAATGTTTTTGTATATATGCACTTCCACAGTGAGGATAAATATTACAACATATACAACACATATAAAGGGTTGTGTGTGTGTGTGTGTGTGTGTGTGTGTGTGTGTGTGTGTGTGTGTGTGTGTGTGTGTGTGTGTGTGTGTGTGTGTGTGTGTGTGTGTGTGAGCAGCAGACCACGTCTCCTCAGCGGTCAGCATCCAGCCCTCCATCGCTGACGTTCAGGAGGGTCAGAGTCTGGATCTCAGCTGCTTCGCCCCCGGAAACCCCCCCCCTCAGGTGACCTGGAGCAAGGCCAGCGGACGCCTGTCCTCCAACCACCAGGTAACACACACACACACACACACACACACACACACACATACACACACATTTCTATTGAGATGTTTACATTTTGAAATGTTTATTTCCAGTCTTTTCATTTGTATTAACAGACAGAGAATCAGCACTTTTGAAAAACATGTTCTGTATATTTCTGAGACCTATAATATATTGATGAAAAAGTGTATAATAGGGGACCTTTAATGTAATTGTCAGTGTGTCTATAAGGTGGTGTTTAAGGCTGCAGCCACAGGGAGATGAAAATGAACCGAATTCGATATCAAAAAAGTCTTCCGTCCTCACGGTATCGGCTCAAGGAAACGTGTCCGTCCACACGAGACAGCTCGAGCCGCTGGAGATGCTGTAGTACACATGCCGGGCCTGTAAGTGGCGCTGTACTTCCGTCACAAATACACCAAAAGCAGAGAATAAGACCCCCCGAGCATGGTTGCCCTGGTTGCCTGGTTGCCCTTCTGTTTATTCACCGCAGTGGATTTAGCAACATGTAGTTCAAGTTCTCCATGTCCACTTGTTGCTGATGGTTGTGGTCGAGGAGCTGTAGATGAACGCAACCCTGTGATCCGCCATTGTTGTTGTTGTAGGCGAAACACATCAGCAATGACGCGGGGGTGAGCAGGAGAGGCGGGGCTATGGCTATGGCTATTGATCGTTATCAGGAAATGATCGTATAGGGCGTAGACACTGAGCCGTTTGGCCCCTCAGAGCGTTTCGTCCGCAGACCTACCCACCTTGGGACCCGTTATCGTTATCTGCGTTTCCCTGTCGGCCTCGTGTGGCCGAACCGTCTATCTGATAGAGAACTGTAGCGGATACGACCGTTATCGTCCTCGTGTGGCTGCAGCTTAAATGTGCCGGTGCTTCTCTGGTCCAATTTGCATAAGCAGAGGCTGTTGTCGGCTCCCACTTAAGTAGTATTAATGTGCCAGCAGAATAATCAATGTGTCTCTAAGAGAAGTGCTTTGTTGGAACTGCAGAGGTCAAGTAAACAAATGAAACCCAATCTGAACCACTGTGTTTCTGCGGCTACAGCAAAGAAAAGTCATTATTTACTAAAGGTCTCTCACCAAACAGTTTTGGTTTCTGTAAATGAATGTTTTTTATTTCAATGGCCTCCACCATGTATTTATTTTTGCATAATAAGAAATTATCACTTTACACTTAACACAATTACACAACAAAATTCAATCAGGTTAAAAACAGTAAGACATAATTGAACACTCATTAAATCAGAAGAAAATAATTAATAAATAAACAAACATCATAATATTATCACAACAGCTTGCTTTTATTTATTCTTGGTGGTCAGTTGTATTTTTAGAGAAAGTGTATTTATATATTTAATATTTTTGGAGAGAAACTTTGGGATTTTAGACTTTGAAGACCATTTAAATGCACTCAAACGCACTACAGTAAAGAGAAGCTCCAAAAAGCCTAACAGGGCCCCTTTATGATTAAATCCCCTGCAGATGGAAACTAGCTATTAGCTCAAGTCTGGCATAATTCATCTCTTCTCTTTTCTGAGATTAATGTATTTGTATGCATGGTCCTTGTGGAATTAAATACATAATATATAAAAATGAATATATGTTATGCATTAATACAATTCTTATTCTTTTTGAAGGTGAAGCTGAAGAAGTACACCAAGTTCATCTTCGTTCGTGACCCCTTTGTGCGTCTCATCTCCGCCTACCGGAACAAATTTGAGCTGCCCAACGCAAATTTCTACCGGCGCTTCGCCCAGGTCATGCTGCGTCGCTACGCCAACCAGCCGACGCCTCCCGCCTCCGCGGACGAGGCGTTTGGCATGGGCATCCACCCGTCCTTCCCCAACTTCCTGCAGTACCTCCTGGACCCGCAGACGGAGAAGGAGATGCCCTTCAACGAGCACTGGAGGCAGGTGTACCGCCTCTGCCACCCGTGCCAGATCCAGTATGACTTCGTGGGCCATCTGGAGACGGCGGAGGAGGACGCCGAGCATCTGCTGCGCCAGCTGAAGGTGGACAACGTGGTGGAGTTCCCCACATCCCGAAGGAACTTCACGGCCAGCACCTTGGAGGCGGACTGGTTCAACACCGTGCCCCTGGAGACCCGCAAAGAACTGTACAAGCTGTACGAACCCGACTTCAGACTCTTTGGATACGACAAGCCGGACTCCATCCTCAATGAGTGACACACACACAGAACGTGCTTTTTTTAATGTGTGTTTATCCTTTTACTCCAACTACAGACACACCTCCCCTTGTTCTGGGCTTTGTCTCCTCCAGTCTTGTATGACCTTCACTGAATGTACACATTAGGGCTGCACAACTTAGAAGAAAAAGAGAATTGCTATTATTTTGACCAATATTACATTTTTGCGATCTGATTCACGATATTGGTGAGCGGATGAGTTAAGAAGTACGTAGGCCATTCAAAATTAGTTTGTTAGATGCGCTAGTTGTCATATCAATCATTTAATATTGTCCATGACGAAGTGTGATGCTTATGTAAAGCATGAAATGTGTTTAGAAATACATACCAATGACAGCTATCTACAAGAAGTAATTGGTCATTCTGCAGTAAACCATTTTGTAGGCCCGGATATCTCTGCAGCTTCACAATACTTCAGCAAAAATTGTATTTAACACATATTTGGCCTTTTAACAAAAGTTGTTCTTCCTGCAATTTGAATATTAGACTAGTCCAAATTGTAATTTTGATTAAATTTTGATGAATTGTGCAGCCCTAGTACACATGATCAAGGACACTCAGTGCTCTAAGGAAGCACATTAATGAGGTGGAGAGAGGTTAATATCCATTGTTGTTTTTCTTTTTTAAATCATAAAGATAACAAGAAGCACACAATTAAGAAACACAGATATGGATTGTGGAAAACAGGATGTGTGTTTTTACATGTTGTACATTCAGTGTAGACCTTAACTCAATGTTGATGTCATGCAGCACCTGTAATTTGTGATATCATACGTAGCAAGATGTGATGTCACAGAGCCAAACTGTATTCGGTGCGACACCAACCCAGATGCAGGCGACAGGGAAATGTTTGCAGTTAGTTAAAACAAGGTGTTATTAGATTAGTTGTAAGTGTTAGTTGCACTAGTTGTCATCTTATTTATTACACTTTGTGCAATGCTTATGTGAGGCTTGAAAGGGATTTAATGTATGTTTTTAAAAATGCATACCAATGACTATCAACATGAAAACCTGGAGGAAATATGCTACAACTCAAACACAGATTAGGACGGGATCAGACACAGCGCTTTTTGCAGTACTGTTGTTGATAAAGAACTTGAACTCAGAACAGTAAAGCACTGCACATGTTCTCTAGGGCTCTGGTTCACCCTAGTTGTTTAATCGTATGAATTAAGAGGCGGGGCTTCTGTGGTTGTGACATTGTTAGCATCCTAGCTCAATGAAGCTAACTTTGCTGACTGTTACCTCACTCAACCCATTTGTTAACCTGTTTAGCCAGTTAGCGTTGCTTGCTTGATAATTCATATAAGTTTCAGATTGGAGAAGCTCATTATATTAATAGAAATATTATATAATATTAATATAACTATTTTGCAGCTTGTTTTATTTAGCTATCTAGCTAAATGCAGCTAACTTAGCTATCTATTTGCTAACTCAACCCATTTGTTAAGCCGATACATCTTAGCCAGTTAGCATTAGCTATCAAAAGTGAACCGTTAGCATTGTTAAATTCAATCAATCCACAAGATGCTTGTTTGATAACTAATTTTAACTGGTTTTACTGGAAGCAATCTATATAGCCTACTACTATGCCTGTCTATTAGGATAGGTAAGGTAGCTAGCAAACAACTCGCTAACGAATTACATTTATTTTTTAAAGGTTAACATTTTTAGAGTTTGCTAGGCTCAGAGACAAATTAAGGCTAAGGCGGGGGATCCAGTGGAGGCGTAGCAACAACAACAATCATTTTTAATTGTAGGCTATGCTTTTATAAAAAAAGGCAACGAGGTGCACTGTGTGTTTTGAAACCTGCAAAAAGCACTCTGTCTGACCAGACCCTTAGAGGATGCTCATATGTTACCTTAACAACAATCCCTACTGCTTCTTCAGACCTGGTACAATAGTTTGAAGCGGAGAAGGGCATTCGATAATATCAATAGAAACATTTCACACAACTCCTTAGCAGCTTGTTTTATTTACCAGTTTCAGCATGGCGTTATCTTATAAGCACAGCAGCTCCAGTTAATGTGTCTCAGCTTGTCTTACTTTGAGGCACACAACTGGAGTTTCTACATTCTTTTAAAATCATCCTAGCTGCATGAACACAGGTGAGCCTCTGTGTATTTAAAGGAAAACATTTCCAAAGGGAATATTTTTGTTTTAATGCTTGTTGTGTTGCTATGACTATTAGCATTTATGGACCTTTGTGTTTTAACGCACAAACTGCAGTTACTGACTTACATCGGGTAACCCTGGAGACTGCAGCTATTGTTGCCCCCCCATCTCCTCCAAATATGAACTTTTTTAAACTGTATGTTTTGTGGGCAGCATTTTCATGGGGCGCAGTATTGTGTAGCAAGGACAAGAGCACATTACATGGCGACAAGAAGCAGTGTTTTTCAGTGTTGTGCCATAAAATCAATCCAGGAGTCGGGTTGTTGTTTGTAGATGAATGCCAGTATTAGAGTCAAGATCAATTAAATAGTGATCCGAGCATGGATCGGGCTGCATGTTTTATATCAGAACAGGTGGAAGATAAGATAGTGCCTTTGGTTGCAAAAGTTTACACAGCAAAAAAAAAAAAAGAAGTATTTTTGTAGAAGGACTTTTTACTTTGAACACGATACAGTGAGATCTGTACGAAGCCACAAGGTATATTTGATATGTCAGGCCTTGTTTATCTTGTGGCTTCAAATAAAAGAATAGGAAAACAGCAGCAGAGCCCTTCAGCTGAAATGCTTTACCGTCTTTATGGGGGTTTGTATGATGTGAGAACTCTTTACAGTGTGCTTGTGTCTCTTGTGTTGCTTTGTGTGTCGTGTAACACGCAGGATTACTGTGTGCTTTGTACTGTATTTGATCATTCTGCACATGTACATGTTCACACACTTGACTCAGTGTTGTCTTACTGCCTTTTGCTTCACTTGTTTTGTACGGTGTGGGTATTTTTTACTCCTCAATGTCTCAGTTCATAGTGTTTTCTGGGTAAATTGGAATTATAAGGCATAAATGGCTGGTTTTCCCAAACATCTGTCATCATTGTTGTTTTCCATGTACGTCTAAGTGAACACACAGATTATCTATTTCAACACACACTCCCAACTCACCAGTGTTTGGATTGTCAGATTTTTTTGTTCCTTTCTTGTGTTTTTTTTTGTGTTACTGTCGAATGTCAGAAACGTTGCTCTTGGCTGTATTTTCTTTAAAAAAGTGCAAACACCGTGAAATTGAATAACTGTGTAAGGGATAGAAAGGATTTATTTATTGGCTGAATAAAACCTATGGAAGCTGCTTCTGTGAAAGGGGAATTCAGTCTTTATTAAGATTACAGTTTAAAAAGGTGGTATGTTTTTTGCCCGCAGCGACCGGACGCTTCAACAGCTTTCTTGCTTTGAACTGCTTAAAGGCCAAACCTCGTCCTACATTACCACCTGATGTCAGTTCTCAGCATAAAATGCAATCACACGTCCAAAAACTCAAATCTATTTTTGTGAATGATGTTTTTGTAACTCATATCAATACTTTACAAGTCTTTGTAATCAGTGTTCCTCCTCTCATCTATGGGAAAAATCAAAGCATTCAGTTTCCTCCGTGTCATCTGTTCATTGTAAGAGAAATAAAGGATGTGGGGCATGATGGGAAATGTATTTGTCTCTTTGTTTCACTATCCATTCTACCTCAGTAAACTAAACAATTCACGTGAGACAATATTGCCACAAAACCTCCTTTAATATTTAATAATATTGTCTCAACACTACAAAGCAGAATAATCCCTTCATGAAAGCCTTGTGGAAATGGGGGAGGGGAATATCTCTTGACAGGACAACAGGAAAGCAAAACTGCTCCAGTTCACGCCAGAAAAATGTGAACAGGAAATGTGGAGCAATCTTCTGGTTGTTTATTCCTAAACAATAACCCTGCCAACTAACTACAACCATTCCGTCTTTATAGCAGTATAATGTGGATGATAAGTGAGACATCAAACAGTCATCAGAAAGTGGAAAGATAACGTATAAGCTACGAAAGAAAGCACAGAAAAAAAAACATTTTATTACTGAACAACTCTCTGTGACATCCTCAAGGGGTCACTGTGCTCATTACAATCATTATCTTCTATTTATGAGACCTTTTTGGAGACAGTCCAGACAGACCAAGCCCTAAGAGGTCAACTTTATGCCTCACAGGTTTCCCACCCACCGGTTTCCACAGGTATTTGCATTGGTGGGCAAAGGTATTTTTTATCCACTCCATATTGTTTCTGGGATAATTTTAATATACCTTTAATTTAGGCTGAACTGATTAGGGTTAGGATTAGGGTTCCACTCAACTATCAGAAATAACTTTTGACCCTTATGGTAAATTCAGACACACCAACAAGAACTTGAGTTAGCTTACTAGCGTGCAGAAAATCTACATAACAATGTTTTAATGTCTATCTTTGGCTTTAAGGGTATTAAATATGTCGTAAACAGCAATGTAAGCTTTCAAATAAACAGAAACACGGAAGTCTGTTTTGCTTGTTTTATTTTCAACGTTTTTACCGTAAGTGGGGTGTAAACTTCCCTCTAGTGGTCATAGTGGGGAACTGCATTCATGTTTGGCTAATAACATTTTAAACATTATACAGTTTTATGTATAAAACCATGTACATTAGTGTGATAACAATACACAAGAGTATTATAAATTTGGTAGCTTCATTAACACAGACCGTTTTTTTAGCACCACATGTCGAGTTACTGAAAAAAAGCGAAGAGGGATAACAAAAATTACCCTGAAGTCACAAACCCTGACATATTTATACTTTAAACAGCATATTCAGTTAATTTATTGACATTTTTATTTTAGCACCACGATGAAGCCTGCACTGAAAAATTGAAACATTGACTTCAATTAAATGTATTATGTCTTATGTCAGATTACACATAATTGTTGAAAAGCAATAAAATGTAAATAGGTTAAACTTAATATTATTGCTTTCAACTAACCTAATACAGTTATGTGTAATCTGGTGACATAATACATTTAATTAAAGACAACGTTTACAGTTTTTTAGTGATGTGAACCTCTATTTTAATCTCAATATAAACCTCAGAAGAAACAATTTTTCAGTCAGTCTGTGAAACTTCAATTAGTTTGCTTTCCATCCACCTGAGCTCAACAGTCTCATGCTCGGCCTTTCTGCATTACCTCTCTTTTTTAGTTCCCCTCTGTGGTTCCTTTGATGAGGTATCCATTAAAAGTGATATAGACGTCTATATCATCGCTGTAAATGGCATTCTCCCTCTCCCTCTTGTAGAGGCGCACCCACACCTCGTCATTCAGCTTCAGCTCCAACATCAGGCTCTGACTCTGCATGATGGAGCGGTCGCTGGGCTGGGTGTAAACGATCACCTTCTCCGTGTCGTTGTGCATGATGTGCAGGTACGTCTCTTTGAAGTTCCACGTGTGGATGTTTAGGTTGAAGAAGTAGATCCCCGGGACGCGGCAAAGGAATTTCCCGTCAAACATGTTGAAGTGGTCGTCCTTGTTGACGAAGACCGTGTCGAAGACGAGTGCCTGGTAGGTCTCCAGGCTGTGGAGGGATTTGCGGCGGCCCACGGAGAAGGCAGAGTGCTGGACTTTGCAGGCGTCTCCTGGGACCCCCGCCGGACCCTTAGTGCCTTTCAAGCCCATTGTACCTCTGGAGCCTGGAGGGCCTTCAGGTCCACTTTTACCTGAAGTTCCTCGGTCGCCACGTTCTCCTTTGTCACCTAAACAGAGAGATTATAGTCAAACTACCGTCAGAAATAAAGAAGATGTTCACACAAAGTTACGTTTAATTTAAGAAAACGATTGATGTGTTTTAAGGCAAGGCAAGTTTATTTCTATAGCACTTTTCAACACAAGGCAATTCAAAGTGCTTTACAAAGACATTAAGAGCATAAAACACATTAGAAACATTGAAAAGCAAAGAAAATAAAACATGAATAACACAGGTACATGAATAAAAGTTACAGTGCAGTGTAAGATGCGAATAGTTCAAACGTAAGTAACTTGTTGGGTACTGAAGTTGAGTTGAAGAGTTCTTCACACTGTATGAACTGTTGAGATCATCTAGAGTGAGTCGATCGACAGACAAAAACGTTTTTGATCAGCAATTAAGCGTTAAAGTAATTTTGATTAAATTGTCAAACACACTTGGAAAGAAAAGGGTGAGCCGGGCGGTATTAAGGCTGCAACCTCATTGCTGAATGCCAATCATCTCTACACCCTAAATTCCACTTGAAGAAAATATGTGGGAGTTAGTTTGATAAAGAAGATTCATTCAAGGAATTTTTCATGTCATAAAGATAACTTTTGGGTTTCGAAAGTCATTGCATAACTTGGAAAACCTGCAGCATTCTCTAAAATCTTCGAGAGTTTTCTGCTTATCAGCAAATGCAGACTTTTATAGCATCCTAAGACACCTAAGATGTGGCCATATGGTGGTTAAAAGTGCATCAACCAAGACAAAAGGTGGTCTGACATGGAGTACCTTTGAGGATGGTCATGTTGATGTAGGTGTGGATCTCGGGCTTGTGGCTGAGCTGTGTGTCTGGGGGAGGAGGGTCTCCGCTGCCCTCTGGTGGCTCCAGGTGATCACAGCAGCGTCTGCAGGGGACAGGAGGAGAACCTGGGGGGGGCACCAGGGCCCCGAGGGAGGCGAGGGACAGAAGGACGAGGACACCCAGCATATCTGCGCCTAGAGTAAGAACAGAGAAGGGTATCAGATGACAACTGTACGATTAAACTTTAATGGTCAGATCAAGTCTGAAATTTGACTTGCATCACAGCAGCTCCATGAGTAACATCAACATAGACAAATATCAAGACACAATACATGAAAAACAAACAGCAAACTTTAACATAACAGCAGGATCAGTGAGAGAAAACAAGCTCAAAGAGTCTTTAGAAGTCATTTACTGTGAGGGTTGACTGGAGCAGAAAGGATGCTCACTCTCACTTTATTGGAATCGAGGGACCCTGTATCCTGTATACTGTATATCCGATTTGATCAGGGGTCTCAAACTCAAGGCCCGGGGCCAAATCCGCCAGCGACTTCATTTTATGTGGCCGCAAGAGCTTGCAAAGAATATAATACGTTTATTATAAGGTTACAGGCCGATTTACAGAAGCACGTTGCCCATAAACTACATGTCCCACAATGCATCTCGTTTTGTGACATGCACACTGAAGGGACTTGCATTTATTTGCCCTGGACTTCTGCTTTCAGATGTAGTTAATTACTGAGTTATTATCCTATCCGATAATAATCAAATTCAGAAGCAATAATGTAATATAGTACATTATTTTAAATATATATTTTATATTTATATGGTTACAACGGGCCTTTGAGTGCAACCTTTATGCGAATGTGGCCCGCGATAAAATTTAGTTTGACACCCCTGGATTAGATGGTAGTTCATATTCACTGTTCAGAACGTGACTGGAAGAGCCACAGCGTTTTCGAGTAATCAGCTATAAATGAATCTACTTATTTATATAAATAGTTATCACTACAATAAACCATATTTCATTTTGTCTTAATGTACATATCATATTCTATTGACAGGCATAGACTTCTTGCACTATTTTTTATTGTATTTTATTATATATGTTGCATTGTTGGAGGAGCTCAGGTCAGACCAATTTCATTGCCATTTCTACACTGCAACTTTGAGCATATGACAATACAACTTTTGAATCTTGAATCTTCTCCTGGTGAATGTTGGGGATTTATTTCACTTGACCTATTGCAACTGGAGCTGAGTCAACGCTGCAGTGAACTTGACAATGTCAACGAACAATAGCATTGTGATGTTCAGCAGGTATATAGTTAACCATGTCTACGGTCTTAGTCTAAACCAGGCACAAACTAGAGCTGAGGTATTTGGACATCAACAAAGTATTGGATGGATTAACGTTTGAATATCCTCTCTATAAACAGCCAGTAGTCTGTAGGAAGCAGGATTTTTGGCATCGGAAGCGTTCTGGATTAATTTTGTTTGGCAAGATGTATTAACCAATCAATTCTAAGACAGCTCTGGCTGAATACGGATAAACATTTGGTGTGGAGTGCAAAAGTGGTTGAAAGCATTGACCGAACTGCTTTGTTGGAACTTGTTGGCTATTGTTTGTTGAACATTAAGCTTTTGACTACCTTGTAAAATAGCTCCTTGCACTCCATTCTGGCACCTGAGGTCGCTGATCTGACTGTAAACAATAGGCAGTGCGCTGAAAATAATTTACATCAGCTAGAACCCTCTCTCCCTTTCTCCCAGTGGCTGAGGGAAGGTCATAACATCTTCTGGAAACCATGAATGCCTGAAAAAAACTTCCCAGCAACCAATCCAACACTGTTTGCCAGGAGTCAGACGGGATATCTGGAATGTAGTTTGATGTGCTTTATGGAAACATGACTGCACCACGATATATCTGACAACAACCTTTCCATCAATGGCTTCAGGGTTGTTTGGGCAAAGCTTGCATCAAATACTTTTCCATCAAAATCGTTCCATCAACAACGTTTCCATCAACGCTTCCATCAACGTTTCCATCAACGTTTCCATCAACGTTTTGATCAACGTTTCAAGGTTTCCATCAACGTTTTTCTGTTGTTGTATTCCAATATCGTGCAACTGTCACAAAACCTAGATTCCCCCTGTGGTTAATAAAGTATTTTGATCGATTGATCGGTCAAATAGTTGATGAGTTATTTCAGTGGTAGACTGACCGACCAATGAAATCTGATTTTGATCTGATGATCAAAACTGCTAGAATTTCAAAAAATAACAGAATTATAAGGCAGATAAAGTGTTTGAGCTAAAACAGAAAAACCTCTTTGCAGAATTCTTAAGCCTTTAGGGGTCTTGGTGAAGAAAGTGTTAAAAAGTTAAAAGGTCTGCATATTTGTAAGAGGAGGCAAAACCATGGGGATTCCCAAAAGCAACAAAACGGTGTTCAATTAGAGAGGAAGGAATTAGAGCAGGATGAGCTGTTGGGGATTTACTTATATCTTTTTATGAACCACTTATCTCATTGTGTTTAATTGTGGATTAAATACAACTTGAATATTTAATTCACCAATTGGGATTCATTCCGACTTTCGCCTTTTAATTATGTTAAATGTTTGTGAAATAAGAGGAAAACATACATCATGAGTTCTCACAAGAAAATGGGGAAAACCACCAGAAGCAAAGACGATTCAATTGAATTTAAGAAACATATGTACAAGACGTTGTTCAGCACCTTCTCAGGAAATAAGACCATGATGTGTCCTTGATGTCACTCCCAGAGCAGTGGAAAAAGAAAGAGGAATCTTCAACCCTGAGCCAAAGAAAGCATGTATCACCCCAAAGAAAAGAAACATTGTGGAAAAACTAATAAAGTGAAGCATTTTTGTAATTATGAGTTGGCCATACTTTCACAGTGGCATTTCGGTGACTGCTAAAATGAAAATCCATGGAGGGTTTCTGCACTCACTCACCAACAGAGAATGTTTCCTCACTAATGCGCTTCTCATACAAATCCCCAAAGAAAAGAAAATGTCAAAATAATGGAGCGAGCATGCAAGGACCATAAATCACCTGAAAAATTACCCCGCAGGCCGCCCATAATTTATCCCCAATTAGCTCAGAAAAGGTCAAAGGCTTATTTTATCCAGAGAAAGTCAGTGGAGTGGGGGGGGGTTTATACAGAGAGCCAGGCTGAGTAGTTTTGAATGGAAAAGCAATGGCTGTGTGCCAGTGATCAGCCTGTAACTGGAACAGTGTGTCCATGCTGTGTTTATACAGCTGTATCCATACTGCCTGATTGTTGCATCCTCCATACAGGGGTGCACAACTCAGGAAAATACTACAAAACAGACTCTAAACGTTAGGAAACGCTGTGACTGTTGCAGCATCGCTTTGATCAACAGACAACACAACTTGGACCAATTATATTCCCAATGGTATTCTGAAACTGGACCATTTTGTGGTCTTTACATTGATTTCCCAGTTTATTGGTTACAGATGTACACTCAGATACAGTCCAAATACTTTATTCTTCTAAAGGTTTTTTGAAACTGTTTGAAAAATGTTGATCATTTGGAGGATGGAGGAAATCAAATGACCACAAAAAGACCAGTAAAGACCACAGACTGACACAGAAACGACTACAAAAAGACAGAAAAACAACCAAAAATAGACTATATGGAAAAAAACTATATGGATATAAAAAAGACTACAAGGACAATAAAATGACTACTTGGAGATGCAAAATGCCCAGAAAGATTTTGATCTTGACAAGAGATCAGGCCAATACAAAAAAGGAAGCAAAACAATATGAAAAAGTTCCACAGAGACACAAAAAAGAGCCACAAAACAACTAAATCTACAGTAAGTGACCCAAAACAAACAAGACCCTGCAAAATGGCTTAGGCAGAATGGTTAGTAAAGAAACACAAAATAACTTCTAATAGAGGCTAAAAAGAGACAATACACTACTGCAAAGAGATGCAAAATGACCATAAGAATATGCAATATCTTTACAAAGAGACCCAAATGACTATTGTATTGTACAAGTGCAAAAAGAGACACACGGATGTAAAGCAACATAACATAGCTTCATTGTTTGTTTGTGTATTTTTCAGTCTCTCACAGGGGCTCATTGACATATCCAATGGGCCCATCGACATATCCAATGGGCTCATTGACATATCCAATGGGCTCATTGACATATCCAATGGGCTCATTGACATATCCAATGGGCCCATCCACATATCCAATGGGCTCATTGACATATCCAATGGTCCCATCCACATATCCAATGGGCCCATCGACATATCCAATGGGCCCATCCACATATCCAATGGGCTCATTGACATATCCAATGGTCCCATCCACATATCCAATGGGCCCATCGACATATCCAAATGGCCCATTGACATATCCGATGGGCCCATTGTCTCAAAATCTGTCCAAACGTACTGTCATTATGTTCAGGGTTGTTAGGAAGCACAGTTTTGATAGCCTCCTATTGCAGTTTTATAAACTCTGATGCTGTGTGTGTTTATCACACTCACTAATAACACCGTTTCACAGCTTAATACAGCTTCATGTGCATATTACATTTACATATTATTGTTGGTCCTGATGTTGTGTAATCTGGAGTCACACAGTGTAAATCTGCTGCTGTGTTGAACTGCTGTTGGGATGTCCAGTGTGTTTCATATGGCTCCTAGCCTCCTACACTGACCAGGGATATTACATAACATAATGTTTTCCTGGAAAACCCCATCTGAACTGGAAACGGGTAAATGGAAAACACACAAAGTTTATTCTCTTATATTTAGACACTGTCCGGAGGGGGAGGGGCTTCTTTATGGGTTTTGGCGCTTTTGTTTTCTTATTGCAAATGTAGATATGCATTGTAAATCCAATTAGGATAGATCTTCATCTTTACCATAACGTTGGAAAAGTCCAAGTTAAGTAAACACCCAAAGGGGCTATAGACAGTGAAACAACTAATTAAATATGGTCTACATTTAGCAGATTACCTATAAAAGCGGATATGTTTCTATTGGTGGTTTCGTGCAGCCCGGTGAGGTTCAAGCGTTAAAAAAGTTGCAATCAGAAGTTCATCGTTTCATTTACTAAAAACTCGCCCGTTCAGCGATCATGCAGACTGATAACTGACACATTAATCTGAATGGATCTCACCTCGTTCACGGTCCTGCAGCTGCTTCAGTCCTCCGGAGGAGAGAGAGAGTCCTGAGTCAGCTGCTCTCCGCTGTGTGTCTCCCACAGATCCCTCCTAGTTTCATGCAGGCAACATAGTGTCTCTCCATTGATCTGGGATGACTGTTAGCAGATTTATAGTTGATTTATAGTTGATGCTTTTGTTAAAGCTACTATAAGGCAGTAGTTCAATCTGTGTTGTTTCGCTGCAGGTAAGTCGTGTACAGTGCCGTTTGTGCGATCATAACTCTGAGGACCACCCTGCAGGGTCTAATTACAAAGCCTCTAAACTACAGGTCCCCCCCCAGGTCTGCACTTCCTCTCTGCTGAATTCCTCCATTCCTCTTTCCCTGCTGCTATCTGCTGCAGCTGCAGAAACACAGAGAGAGAGAAGCAATAATCAACATTTCCAGACCTGGTGTAACCTTGTGCCTCACCTTAAAAAAATGTGCCCTGATAAGACGGAAATGTCCAATTTAAATGAAAAACTTACAAACTAAAAATGTAGTTATTGTATTTACACAAAAGCTAGAGCGAAAACCTAAAATAATAGATGATGTCATGCTTGTAATATTCTGTTCTATGGACATGTAAGTGTGTATTGTATTGTATTGTAAGTCTTGTATTCACCAATATGTTACAATGCTGTATTTACAGTGAGCTTAAAACAGTATGGTTTTAATGGAGAGTGTTCGAGTGTCTGGATTTTGGCTACACAGTTTAATAGTCTCATTATATATATTAGGAGCTGAGATTGAACTTCCAAGGGAAAAAACAAGGTACTTCAGTGGTTCATGTCAACTGGGATATAAATTGGTATGCTAGAGAAAAACAGGCCTAAAACAAAAATGTCTTACTCCAAAAAAATGAATAGCTGACGCCAAAGAGTGTGTTTCAGTACAACCACAGTACGAAAAACTAAGAGACAGAAAAAGGACTGTAAAGAGAAACGAAAGACTGCACGGAGAATGAAATAACTAATTGGAGACGCATAATGCCCACAAAGATATGAAAAATGACTAAAGATCAAGCGAACACAAAGAGAGTTAAAACAACTACTAAGAGATGCGAAAAAGCAAACACAAAACAACCATAAAGAAATACAAAAACTTCCAAGAGACGCCAAAAAGAGAACTACAATTATACAAGTGTTGAAAAAACTATAAGAGACAAAAGATGACTCAGTAAAGACATATAAATAAACATCCACTCTCTCCCTGTTGAAGACATGTCGCAGTGGAGTCATAGCTGGTTGAGCTCCATCTTCTTTACGACCCCATGTTGGAGTTGTTTGCAGTCTGTCAGAGAACGAGAGGATACGAGGCAGGACTTGTGGACACGTGTACCTCAAGCACAGCTGTTGACCATTACAGGGTTGAGGTTTCATGTTCTGCGGTTACATCAGGAGAACATTCCTCTGGTTTTCCGGCCAATGTAAACTTGTACGAGTCTCGCCTGTGACCACCTGACCTGCGATATCTCTGTAAATATTTACTAGCTGTTTTCATTACAAATCAGACGCTACTATTGGAGCTCATAACTCTTCCTCCTGTCTGACCCCTGTGGTCCTCCTCTACTGTTCTGACAGGTTGAATTTCATTTATAAGTCGTAAATCAGAGGTCTCATTTATCTCTCTGTTTGGTATCTGTTTTATAAGATCAAGCAGTATCCCACACCCATGACCTCAGAGTTATAAAAGGACTATTTGTTCTCCTGGGATTGGCGACTGATGACTAGATATTGGCGCTCGCTTGTGTCATAAAAGATGGAGATTTTGAAGGCCTGAAGAATAATTTTATTTGGACACAACAACCTTACATCCACTTTTCCAGAACACAAGACATATTGTTAGTGGCTGCCATGATTATGGGTCACTGCATTCAAAGTTGAAAACCAGAAATGAGTTGAAATGCGAGCCTTCAAAACATTCCTGTGGCTCGGCGGAGGAAAAACCGCTAGAGGACGGACAGTTGGTTAGCATTTAAGCAGCTGACAAATCTATAAGGATTTGAAAGCTGAAAAAAGGATTTGATGATATTTTAAAATTAGGCCTGCATCACCCTCTTTTATTAGGAACAGCTGATTTGAAACTAGAAACAGACATAGATGAATGGTTTCCAACTTTGATCTCTGTGTGACGTAAACTCTGAAAATGAAATAAAAACCATCCCTGAAATTAAAGATAATCCTTTCAGTCACAATACTATCAAACTAGTAGGATATAACGGTACCACTTCACAATAAGGCCCGTATAAAGGGTTTAGGAATAGTTTGTAACTCATTTATTAATTAGGTTGTGAACACTTTATAAATCCTTAATACGCTTTTACAAGACATGAGATAAACAGGGCGACTGTGACCGGTTGCTTGCCAAATAGTGAGCCCACATTTATCTGTACTGCTAAGCCATATTAGGAATGGTAGTAACTCATTAATAAATGGGAATGTGTTTTAAGCTTTATAAGGCTCCCTTTTGGCCACTATAAATGTTAGTAACTCATAAATAAATGGTCGTAAAGAGATGCCAAGAAAAATCAAGATGGAAGGGGGGAAATCAACTCAGTGAACAACAAGGATGCTGGCTGATGAAGAAGACAAAGTAAGCTAAGTAGCCAATATAAGGCTGAGTCATCTTGCCAAATAGTGAGCCTGTGTTGATGTATGAAAACTATGTTAGAACTGGTTTATAAATGATTAATAAAGTGTTTACAACCTAATTCATAACCTACTTATAAAACCCTTTATGAATCCTTTATAAGGGTAGTCTCATTGTAAAGTGGTACCGATATAATAAAGGAAACACATTCCACTGTATATGTTAAAACCCCTGACTTCCAGTTCCTTCAAATGTATTATTATCTTTAATCAGGGAGAAAATACTTTCACAAAAAGACAAATTCTTTAGCGTACAATATTTATTTGTTATTTGAAGCCACAAGAGGCCAAATATTTGTTATCACATTCTTAAGGCGCGTTCACACCAAGTACTTTTCCCACAAAGGTTCCTGAGAACTCTTTAGTTCTCATGAACTAAGTACAGATCGCGTTCACACCGGAAATTAGTCCCTGGGGGTGGATTAGGCAAATGAAGCCGCTGACGTCACTTCTTCTTCTTCTGCTTTGGATTTACTGGCAGGCCGCAAACAACTTCACTTCGTATACTGCCGCCCAAAATCCCTGGCCGGAAGTCCCCGGAGTTAGGGACTGGCTTCAGTGGAAGCTGCTGGGACTCCCAGCAGCTTCTACTGAAGCCTTCCGAGTAAACGGCCAGAACGCCGACTACTCCTCATCTCCACCGCTCCCATGTTTTATGTTGTGTTGTCATAAGTTAGTATCTCTGCGTTTCTGCGCTGGGCTAATGCTAATGCTAATAATGCAATGCGAGGATAATAAAATGGCGGCTTCACAAAAGTTTTTGGGAGTGTTGACGGGGCGTGGTTTGCATTCCGCCCAGCCAATCAGACATAGGAACCTTTTTCTCCCACGAAAGCTCTCCAGCAGGGACGGAAAAGGGGGTAAAAAGGTTCTCATG